ATGAACAAAAATTCAACAGATTACAAGAAGGCAACCAAAAAAAAAAAATGCAAACTAATGAAATTTCTTAAATGTGACATTCTGTGTGAAATTAGTGAGTTCATTCCCACTGTGCAATACCAAAAGTTTAAGTTTGTGTAAATATGCCATAACGAACAATGTTGTGAATGACTAAAAAAACCAACGTTGACAAAAAACTAAAAAAAAGAAACTAATAAAATTAAAACCAAATCCAAACAAACAAAAATTGGATAAAATCTAATAAAGTTAATACCCCTCTACTTCATCTTCGATATCTTCAAAATCGCTGCAAAATAAAAAATAGAGATTAAACATATATATTTATACGTACACGTACATACATAGAAACATATTAACTAATTACTGATAAATAATTCGATTAGGATTGAATAAATGCACAAAACAGTTACAAATGTGAAATAAATAATAAACAAATTTTTTTTTTTCTAAACTTTGCAAATCGTTAACACCAATGCGATCATTAATAACCAAATAGCAGCACGCGTACGGTGGGCAAAATAGTAATGTATATAGGTAAAACATGCCAAAGGAATATACATATACAGAGCTAAAAGGCGTAACTTTAGCATGGCAACATTTATCTAAGTACTCATTTGCAGCAAACACCTCAATTAGTTTATCAATACATATCTACAACACATACACACACATCTCTAATGTCCTACAGCAGATATCGCTAAACATATAACAATCACCTACCTGCCACTGGTGATGTCGACACATTCCTTCCAGCGCGCCTCCTGCTCCTGGCGACCCGACAAAGCGGTCGCATATTGTAGTTGTCGCTTGCGGAATTGTTCCGAAAGGAAGACCACAGAGAAGGCGTGTATGCGCCACATCATATAATTGGCAATCACGCGATCGGGTGTGCGCGCCAACAATGGTCCTAATTCGTCAAAGAAACTAGGCACCGAAAGATTCACAGGTTCATCTTCATTCACTTGAATTTTATCCGGCAGCAGAGCGTTCGTGTAGTCCACCCACTGAACATAGGGATACGTTGCTTGCAGTTGCTTCAGCGTGCGTATGTTGTAGAGATCGTTGGTGTTGCGGCGCTTCTCAGCTGGCCAGGAGATCTGTTGCGCAAAGGCAAAAAATACAAATTTTTTTTGAGTATAAATTTTAAAGTGTTTATATCGAAAAATCTCACATTAGCCAATGCGATCTCGAATTCGAGCGACTCACGCAATTCGCGCTTCGCTCTTTCCTTATCAGCGCCAAACAGCACAGCCATATCGACCATGTAGTCATAGTAGGAGCTCACTAGCGTCTCATTGAAACCCTTGACTAGATATTCGCGGCTCAAGCCAATAGCCGATTGATCAACCTGTTGATGAAAGGGAGAAAAACGTATTAGATTTTAGGAGCACTCACGCGGATCCGAAGTCAAAAATTAAGCAAAAATGTGTGTGTGGAAATTAAATACGTTTCCGGTATTCCTATCGTTATCGATATTTTTGGAGTTATCGCAGTCGGAAAGTGTCATCCGACCTCTACCGGAGATAACCTCGGCTGGAGCCCTTCATAAAACCCAGACTTGAGTAGGATGCTTCAGGTACAGTGCGACTGGAGCCATTCAGTCTCATCCAATTGGAGAAGCTCCCTACCTGGTCAAACCTCCGTCACACATGGTACCAATTACATACAGATACAACCGGAAAAGCGCTTCTCAAATGGGGCAAGCTCTCTGAGGCCAGACAAATCCCACAGCCAACCGCCAATTTTATTGCTATTATACCTTTGGTAGGAATGTCCCCTCACAAAATTAAAAGAAACTACGAGATCTGCGGCGCAAACACCGAGTGTCCTGTTATGCCCTAAAGTAGAAAAGCTCACCACTCAGCTAGCAAGGCTTATCTAAACCTGTCCACTAAGTCTTTCGTGCCGCTCGTCGTCTTGCTAACTTGCAGATCAGCGATAATCAGGAGACTTTGTCGAATTGTCGAATCAGAATGCAGGTAGTATTGCTTTTCTTTAACGATAGCTTAGATATTATACCGATTAGGGAAGATCCAGGTCCACAAAACCTGCACGAAAATTATCGTCAAGTTTGGGGCATTCACGGAAACTGAAGCACCACACAGCCACTAAGGTATGAAAGATTTTTTCTATAATTATTTATTTCAAATCATATACAAGATGTCTTTAAAGAGAAAAACTAAAAGGGTAGCTCTACGACTGAATTCTATTATCACACAAATGCCGGGTTTTCTTTATGTGAGAAGTAGGCATTGTCGAACGGTGTGGTAAATTCATGTACTACATATTGAGGCAATGCACATCGAATTTTCCAAAATACAAACTGAGACACCCTAATGTACAAATATACATATATGTATTATTATCGATATCCTCACAATATCCAATGTGAATATAGTTCTTATTATAGCTATCCAAATTATTAAAGATGTGGCCATTATTATATCAGTAAATTATTTTTATCGATAACAAATTCATTATCGATATCGATATGCAAGGTTATAGTCCTCGTTTTTCGAATGACAGTTTAGTTATAATTAAGCAGTCATCTGAAAAGAAAATTACACTGGTCTACAAATTTCAACTTTTTTTCTGCGAATAAGACGGGACCTGGTGTTTCTGAACGGATTTTTCGTGCTGAACACGAATCCGGGGTCAAAAATGTCCCATCACGTTTTCGAGAAAAAAGGGGTTGAAACCCCTAAAAACAGCGTTTTTGGCCATTTTCGAAAAATTATAGAGCTGAACCCTGACGTGGTACAAATTTTGCATATATCAGAAATTAAAGGCTAAACCGTGCCCTTTCGAATGAGCCCTATGCCGAATTGATCGCGTGCACCCTTAAAGCAGGGGGTGTATTTGTGTTTAGGGGTGCAGGAAAAATTGATCACAGAAAGAATTTAATCTTAAACGATCATAGAAAATTAATAATGCCAAGGTTTTAACTATATTAAAAGTCGCTGATTACGAATCTGCAGTTAGATTTTAAAAATTTAAGATGACGGGTCGAATATGGTGGATATAAAAATTGGACTCCTAGACACAAATACACCCCCTGATCTAAGGGTGCATGCGATTAATTCGGCATAGGGCTCATTCGAAAGGGCACGATTTAGCCTTTAATTTCTGACATATACAAAGTTTGTAGCACGTCAGGGTTCAGCTCTACAATTTTTCGAAAATGTCCAAAAACGCTGTTTTTAGGGGTTTCAACCCCTTTTTTCTCGAAAACGTGACGTGATGGGAAGTTTTGGACCCCAGATTCGTGTTCAGCACGAAAAATCCGTTCGGAAACACCAGGTCCCGTCTTATTCGCAAAACCCTTGTAGACCAGTGTTATCCTTAACTCACATCAATAATACGCGTTGTGCTGTTCTTCAAATCCACGCTGATCGAAAAATCAATAATATAGTCCATGCTAAAGCCCAATTTACGGAACTTCTTCACAGTCTCCTGCCAGCTCCAACTGTTATCCGCATTCCACGAATCGCCCTCAATCACTGGCCAGCCACCCAGAGACTTGGCAATATTAGCAATAGGCGCCGCACCCAATTGTTCAATCAGAGCTGAAGAAGATTTCAAAAAGCCAGACGCGAAAAATTTGATAATATATACGTTTGTATGTATGCGTGTGAGTTCAACGAAACACTTACATTTATTCATACACGCCTTATAAAGCGCATTCGGCAGCTGAAAGTGATTGGGCTCACTCTTCGGCCGTTCTTCGGTGACAATTTCCTTTAGTTGTTCATGCAATTTATCCGAAATCAACGAGAATGTATTCAATGAATCTTTGTCGTCGGGTATCAGCTGCTCTTCAATGTAAGTGCCGCACACGAATTCATAGAAGTCATCACAGGGTTCGATCTCCGGTTTCATTTTACTTAATACCGCCGAAGCGGTGTGTATGCATTCGACTGAGAGACAGACATCATCCTTGGGTGACTTTTGTGGTGTGATAATGACTTCATTGTCTGTCGGTTTACTGGAGCCTTGCAGCGCCTCTGGTGGGTTTGTGGGTGTTTTGAGCTCTAAATGTGGACGGAAAAGCAATGGAATTAAAAGTTTTTTTTTGCGTATGTTAAAAATGCTGAGTGCCTCAACACACCTTCGGCCAAACGATTTGAGAGTATTACAGAAACTAGTCCAATGACTAGACCAATCACTGCGATCAACGCAATAATACTGATGAGGACAAGGCATCGCTCCAGTGTAGTACGTCTGCGCCACCAATTGGGGTTTCTAAAATAAAAAATTGGGAAAATTTGTATCACTCAATTTTTTGGGGAAAAGGGAAGCTAAATTAGGCTAAAGATAAAAATTATATAAATAAATTTATAACTAGTAGTAAATTGGACAGAGTGGCGTATAAATCATCAAAATATTTAAAAAGCCACTACAATAATGTTTTTTTTTTATTTCGCGCTGCTCAACTTCAGCGACTGATTTTCCACGAGGTTAATAACATCACAGCCAAACAGCAAATACTGGTTTCAATTAAAGGAATGTCCAGCAAAAGAAAAAGAAGATGAACATACATTTTTATATAGAAACCACAAAACGCAGAAATCTGGCTGTAATGCCAGTTTTTCTGCCACAGCGATAATTCAAGTTCAAGCTCCAACCAACCAGCTCGTGCGCGGTAAACAAATCACAATTTTTATTTGATTACCAACTTGGAAGGCCCAAACCGACAAATACTTGTAGTCTCAGGGACAAGCATCGTATGCGCGTAAATATATACATATGTAAGTATGTACAATCATTTGCAGATATGTATGTACGTACATTTTGTTAGTGTCAGCAGGATGGAATAAAGCAGCTTAGACATGTTGGTAAATAGGAAGTGAAGTCGATCGGCGCACGTACGGACATTTAATTTATATAATGGGTGATTTTTTAAGAGCTTGATACCTTTTTTTTTTAAAAAAA